AGGTATGAAAATCAGAATTTTCGTCAAACATTTGAGAAAACTGAGTTCCTTGTCGTTAACGTGAAGAGTCACATTTCATTGCGAACGGTAAGTGATCTGGTCAGTCGAAAATAAGACCAAATGAAGAAGCGTCAACATCCATTTGAACAAATTCCATCTGAATTTTACGAGGACTGTAGGAATATTAAACGGGGAAATATGATAATCGAGAAACCGCTGACTATCTAAATTTAATTCACTGTATAATCAAATAAAATCAGCAAAATTTTCAATGAATATTAAAATAACACGATAATTATATCTTTATCAGGAAAGAAGAATGTCTTATCGCCTTTCAACATATCTCAGCATGATTTGCGCATATAAATAAGTTGAGGAAAGCCGCGCGCTAATTTACTTATTTATTTTCATCGACTTGGTAATTGTTTCCCCCAAAAGCGGAAAATTATCGACCCTAATAAAAGAAACTGCCGATCGCCAATGACGGTGAACATTTGTCGTAGGTTGCAGCTTCATTTCCGACCCGCTCTCTCTTACCTCTCTCTCTCCGAATCTCCCGTGCTTCTTTTACCTTGGCGTAGCGGAGAAACCTTATGTCTGCACGATAGTCCTTCGAGTAGACTGAAATCAGATTGGGTCAGATCAGGTTCGCCTCTCTTACCTTTTAAAACAAAAGGCAGCATCCTGGGAAAATTTCTTCTCGACTGAACGGTTCCCTATCTCCTTCCGTCTCCGTACAATTCTTCCTAACGATTTTTAGTAGTATAATACAATGTGCACGTGCGACTAATCCAATAGTAAACGCGCAGCGTTTTCTATCACTTCGTAATTCCATCACTTCGAAGCTGATATTCCTCGTCAGAGGGTCTTCCTCGTTGAATGAGTTGGCAAACAAAAGGGATAATTCACTCATAGGAAAGGCAAAGAATACGTCTTGCTATACATTTTAAAGATATATCATAGAGCGCAGAATGTTTGAAAGAAATAACTGATCTTATTCTGAAATTAAGAAGGAATATTTGGGTAAGTAGTTTATCTCGAGATTCTTAGTTTCGACACGTAATCCACTTTTATGTAATCATTTTGAGCGCGTATAATCTCCTTTATATCACGCCTTCAGCGCGACAGCGTTAATCAAACAATACGCGCAGTTTTACGTGTCGCAAGTCGGTTTAATTTAACGTTACGCCACTGGCGACTGGCTGACTCGCTCTGTCTGTTTCTCCTTCCCTCTGTCGAGCGGCTCGGAGGAGAGCGCGGGGAAGGGTCTCTCGCCGCGTCTCGCACACCGAGGAAGATCGAATTTGCGAAATGGCTGTGTATGAGGGCTGAATACCTGACGAGGTAATTCGCGAGGGCACCAGCGCGCGGGCGCGGGCACGACGTAATGTCCCGTGGAAAGTAGAAAGGAAAAGCTCGTAAAGGGGGCGAAATTCAAAGTAAATTTTCCAAAGTAGGCGGCAGTGCATTACGGCGGTGTCGTCAATTGACTTTGTTACGAAGAATAGTTGCCGTCACAGACGTGCGCAACAGACGTCGCGTTTTGCCGATATATATTTTTTTTTCTTTCTTTTAACAAGCTTTTCGATCCGTCCCCCGCGAATCTACCCCCGAAGGGTGACACGTCGGCGGAAGAAAAAAAAACGCGAGGGCGGTACATCTAATCCGCGAAATGCAGTCTTGTTCGTCGCATAATAAAATTCATTTAAAACTGATGGAAGAGCTACTTACGGATTCTGAATTTTTAATAGCGCACATTTTTGCGATAAAGTTAAATAAAATTTCTTTTAAAGTAAAATCTAAAGATTAACCACGGGGAAGAGGGCCCCACTAGCCACACCACCTCTTGAATCTTAACGAAAAAACTAAACTTTTTCATCTGCAATGTTAAATATCCCTCTGATTACAACTTTCGTCAAATCTTCATCAGGCTAAAGTCGATTCTGCATATTATGCAGTTACGATGAATGCGGGACGGGCTTTACGCAACGTCCAACGGAATCGCGCAAAATCGTATTACATACAGACTTCGATTCTGTCCACCGCACATGAGCTCCTGCATACACGCCCGGCCGAGCATCGCCGCCCTTAATTGCGGGATTTAATCAACACTTTTCTTTGTCGCGGACTGTCAAACGCGTTTGAGTGGCGACAAAGCGCGCGCGGTATCGATAGTGGCGAAGTCGCGAGGAAGCGAGGCGAGGTCTCGGGAGGGAAGAAAAAGGGAGACGAGAGGTCGGCGCGGGGAGAAAAAGCGCGGAGAAGAAGAGGGCGAATCGCGCGGTTTTCATCTGCGAAAATTAAGGCAGAATCTGCCGGTGGTAAGAAAGTCCGCGCTAATTAAGGCTGTTTCTTCGGAGATTCCCCTTTCGCGGCCGGCCTCCCCCTCCCTTGGCCCCGGCTTTTAAATAAATTATACCGAGTTAAAAGCCTCTTCGCACTTCCTCAGATAATCCGCGGGGCCGTTTCGCTCACCAAAGTTATACCCGCGGGAGAAATCTCGGTGGAAAAGGACGAGCCGTTCTTTCCTCCCGCTTATACCGCGGGGCTATAATGCGCCGAGTGATCTAACGCGGGGAATACTTTCTGCTGCAATTACGTTATAAGGCAAACAAGAATGCTCATCCCCGGGCCCCATTCTCATCGCCCGGTTCTTTACGAAAATGCGATTAGTCCGCCGAGCCAGATTCAATTATCTCCCGCGTAGCGATCAACGACGTTCGCGCTGTTCTCTTTTCGCCCAATAAATCGTTATCCCTAAATGGATCTATTGGAAATGATTACCCGACAATAATCGCGTCCAGGACCTCTAGAAAATCGAACTTTATACGTTATTGAGAAAATTTCTGTTGCGTAGAAGTAGTGCGTTATGCGACGATTAGACGCAGTTATGCAATGAGGGACCAAGCGCCATTTTTCTGTATTGCAAAGCGATCGTGAAGATCTAAGGGTCTGTGCAGAACAACTGTCTTGTATTCTTAAGTCACAAGACAGTTATTGTGCGTTAGGGCCTGAGCAGAATGGCTGTCTTGTACTCTTAAGACAATGTTTTATGTTTTGCATCTTTGTCTTAAAGTAACGCACAATAACTGTCCCGTGACTTAAGAATATAAGACAGCCATTCTGCTCAGGCCCTAAGAGGGTATAAAGACTGCCCAGCTAAAAGAAACAAAGTTATCGTTGAGGACCTGAGCAGAATGGCTGTCTTGTACTCTTAAGACAATGTTTTATGTTTTAAATCTTTGTCTTAAAGTAACGCACAATAACTGTCTTATGACTTGAGAATATAAGACAGCCATTCTGCTCAGGCCCTTACTTCAAAGCCTGAGCAACAAAGTGCTTTTTGGGTCTGGAAACATTCTGTTTTATATAAGCAAATGAAAACGCTTCAAAAATTTGTCGACAACGTATGATTATACGGTGCATAATGTACAATTTATCAACTTGCACAAATCTTTTAAACATATGTATTGTCTACAAAATAGAATGTTTCTAGACGCAAAGAGCACATTGTAGATCAGGTTTGGCTAAACATTGGTTAAACATTGGCCCAATATTTGATTGTATTGGGCCAATGTTTAGCCAATGCACTGTGCTACTAGGGCTGTCTCAAGAGTACAAGACAGCCATTCCGCTCAGGCCCTTACATACCTATACAAAAATAATCCAACTCTTATCTGTAAAAAAAACGCATGGAGTTGTATTTGAGGATTACAGTTCGGTTATTATACTTGAAATAACGTTGGCGCGAAATTTTATTTCCAACGTTCCGCGAAATTTGCCCCGGCGAGAAAATAAAAGATTTTGGGATTGGTTCCGCAGTGCAAAACTGCGTCCAATTAATGAGACCGCGCGGTAGACGAAAATCCCCCGGCACAGGGAACGTCGGTTAAGAGCAGTTGCAGACGTCCCGGTCGGCTTTCCGGGATTTCGAATTCCTCGTCCTTTGCAAGCGTCGCCGAACGACAGCGGGTCATCGTTAACACCATTGTTCTCACGGTACTCCCGGCGCGTTAAGAACGTCCCGCGGCGCCTTCAAGTTAAGTAGATGTTTCTCGGTACGTCGGGTGCATTTTTAAATAATTCGATGCAAAGCAGCCGAGAAAAGGCGCGAATTCCCTCCCGAGAGGTCTCGGGGAACGACGAGGGGCGCGGGACAGCGCGGCACGGTGAAAGAACGAATGGAATTTCCGTGGGATTCGCTCCTCCTCGCGGCAGACGTGGCTGGAAAGCGCGAGCGGTTCCGAGCGACTTTTACAACTTAATTTTTGCGTATTTGCGAGGCTGCGACGACGGCGGGTTGCCGGCTTTGCGGGAGAAAAGTAAATTTTCCGACACGTTTGCTCGCGCACATGGCGCCGCGTTCGTAAGCAGCGGGATGTGTCGCCACCGGATTTGCGTCAGAATTTTATTAATTTGCTACCCGCCAATTTTATCTGTCTCACGAAGGAGGGCGAATTCAGGCAGTTTGTTAAATCTTTATTGTGGCTATTCGACGAAAGTATGTAAAATTGAAGGCTCGCGACCGACACAACATTCTGTAAAATCGTTGAGTAGAGAAATTTCAATTGGACCAGAGAATTCCCGAGCGGAAAGAATATTTGCCGAATATCTCGTGTCAGAAAACGCTACGTTGCTTCATCGATGCACGCAACAAGCAACGTTATTTCTTTTCACTTTAATTTATTACCCTTATTTCGCTCTTACGATCTCCAAGATATTATATTACAGGTCTTCCCGCGTTATCTAAATGTAGAGAGGTTTCTACGAGCTGACTATCAAGTAGTGAAGATAAATGCTAACTCCAACCGTAAGATATCACTCGATAGGTATGCCGAGGCGCACTTACCAATACCAACATCTCTGTCCTCATAGATTCATAAATTTTATTGTAAAGCGACAAAGTGCAACGTGAAAGGAAAGAAAAGCCCCGACAATTGTTTAAGGATATAATCAAGCGTGGATAATTTTTTTTTCAGATATATCCCTGTTAAAAATATACGTCTAATGAACGTTTCGCACACAAGAGTCGAGTGTCAACAAATTGCCGACTAATTTGTCTTTCACGTCAACTCTAAATCCCACAAATTGCGAATCAGATTGCTTGTACAGGTTACTATATAAGACGGTGCGGTTCCGAATGGGAGCTGACTATCAAGTAGCAGGGATGGATGCTAGGGCAGACGGTATTAACCACTCCACCTATTGGTATTGGCACGTGCGCGCGGTGAAAATATTGCCGAGTCGAGAATTCGCGAATAAATCTAAATAACCTTCGTGTCGGGATATCGCAGCCTTTCGTATCTCTCTATCCCACGTATTTATTAAAAACAGCAATGCTTGGATGATTTCTCTCGTACTAACGGATATACATTTTATTTCTCGCGGTCGAGTGAAAGGGGAGTTTGAAAGAGAAAGGCTTTCATTTATACTTTATTCTTCAACATTCAAATATCTGAATATAAAATACTGGGCAGATTTATACAATCATATTACGTAAATCAGTGTAGAAAACCCGAAAGTAGCAATATGGCGTGATTTAAGAACCGCCATTCATATAAAGATTAATGAAGAAATTTATTAAATATCTGAGATATCAAATATTTCGATTTACGAGCATATTCCATAAAACAGAGATTCATCCGTAATTTATTAGAAATAATATCATTCATTTTTTCGAAAGGACTTCATCCAGTTGCAAATCGATCGTTGCGTGCTCTCAAAAATATTAGACAGCACAATTTTCATACAGTATCACTGAATACTTAGCAACAAAATTTGCAAAAAAATGCGTAAATAAAAATTCAATCTGTCGATGTGAAAGTCGGTGCAATCTTTTGCAGAACGGAAAACTATAAAATTGCCAAGACGCACCTCCCCTCTTATTGCATAATTTAATTATTTTTTTAGTCACGTATTACCTTCCGCTTTTCTATATACGCATCGAACAGGATCGAAGCGATGCACGAATACTTTGTCAGGCGAACCGCGGAGGATAGCGACACAAAAAAACGAGTAATTCCAGAAGAGTCCATTTTATCTACCGTCGCGCTTCGTCAATCCAGATCCAACATTTCTCCAGACGTAAAACTGTCCCCGCGATCATTCCTCTGACTTCTATCGATGTGACCATCGGGCGACAAGTCTTTGCCGGCGAAGCGATTACCGAAACTCAGAAAATCCGAGCTGGGGCTGCCGGTCTGCACAGGTTCAGAGAAATGTTCTCTTTATCGTCGTTCCTATAATAATTATTTTCAAAAGTGTTTACTTGAAGCAAAAAGTTGTCCGCATCGTTCTCCATCGGCGGCTGCCGGTGCAGTCGTCTCGGCGACACGGTCGTATACTGCTGCAAAGCGTTATCGCAGAAGTCCATCGTGCTTTCCTGCAATCAAATGCCAAGTATTTCATCAAATAAATTAGACTGCTGGTCAAACATCCAATCGATCTTCGTTAAAAAATCCGTCGTTAGTCTCTAAAAAAAAAAACGTTATAAATAAACGGTGATGTTTTGTAAAGTGATTCGGGTTTATATTATACTTAAAAACTAATCAGAAAAGAGAAGATATGATTTTTCACTTACAAATTTAGACTTGTCATCGACAACTTTAACAATGTCACCATCCTCGGTCGTAGTGATAATGCCAGTTCCGAGCTTTTTACCGAGTATTTTCACCTCCTTCCTACATCCTTCGGATGCGGGATCGGCGGTATTAGACACGTAAGCGTTCTGCATGGAATTCTTGAGGAACTGCTCGTAAGGACTAAGAAATCTTGTTTCTTGATAAGGATGCGGGACTATCAACTCGTGACTGTGATTCTTTGGTCCCAAGATCTTCACTTCGTTTAGACCGGGGAATATCTTCGGAGGTGGAAAGCAAAATTTGTCACTGTAAGGCTGTAAAACATGTCGTGGAAATGTATCGTCCAAAAGTGTCATCGACGAGCGTTCGCGAAATGATTTTTTAAATAATTATACCTTCATGCATTGACTTCCGGAGTCGAACATCTTCATGTCCGATTGACCAAAGGGTATCAAGCCGGTATCGCAGTCGTCGTCGAAGACCGAGGACAACTTCAACTTCGACTCGTACTCCGAATGATGATCTTCCATGGGGGAGGCGCCGAGAATATTTAGATCTTCCGCAATGCTCTGACTGCTCTTTAGATACGGCAGTGTTTCGCCCAATAATGACAATGGCGGATGGTTCTTCATTAACAGAGACGATAACGAGGATTGCGAGCTGGTGGATAGGTTCGAGGGATGACCCAAGATGCTCGTTAGGTCCTGCTGGCTCGGCGCCACGGCCATCGCTGGGATCGGCAACCATTGACAAAAGTTATGAGCATACGACTGGTTTAGAACAGACTTCAAACAACTCAAGAGACTTAACATGGCTGTAAATTTGCTCCTCCTTATCTGGATTTTCTAATTAATTATTAGCTACTTGAAGCATAAGAGAATTCAAATTGAGATCAGCTCGGACTTATATGGTACTTGAGAAAATGAAATCTCGAACACATAAAGGATTTTTGTAAATCGTAACATTACGGCGCCAATTCCACCTACCATCGTCGTGCCCGGCAAGAGCGCCGTCGCCATCGAGAGGCAGCGGTTTGGGACCCAGCAGGAGATCGTCGATCTTGGTCTGCGAGAGGAATGTCATGCCATCCACGAAACGATCGTCGAGGCTTTTACTGTCGAGAATTCTAATGTCTTTATCTTCGAGAATCTCGATGGCGTCCATTGACATACCGCTGGACTTCTGGCCGGATTCCAGTACCATGATCTGATTATCGTTGTCGCCGATGATGACGTCGCCGTTATTGCGTATATTCACGAGATTGATGGCGTCCGCCTGTTCGCCGTCAAGAATCGTTACGTCATGGGAATTCTGCGTCATTAAGTCGCGGGCCTCGCTGTTCGTCATGACCTGCAGCCATAACGGGCGCGCATTAAGGGCATTGAACTGTTTAAAGCTTCGTCATGATCGGAATAATTTATTACGATAAGGCGAACCGTGCGACACACATGCACACAAATATGATGAAAGTACACTTTCATTATACTTTATAGTCACGATAATTCCTAATTACAAAAAAGTCATAATGCTACGTAATCACAAATTGTGATCAACCTTAATGAATTTGAAATATTATGCGCAGAATAAGGTAGGTTTAAACCGAGCGTTTAGGCGGAGAAGGATCTTGAGATTTTAAACGAGATTCGTCCATCAACTTAAATTTTACGAATGAAAATCAATTAGCTTTCCAAAGTTACTTGGAAGAATCGCGACGGAAAAGGATTTAATTAAGACTCTTGTAGTATTTGGAGTCTATCGATATAGATGTTAAAATTAATCGAGTTTCTACGGCTAATTTGAAGAAGCTCCGAAGATAAATTCCAGGGAACGCTATATATTCCTATAAGAACGTTACACAGCACGTTTCGCAAACGCGACCGCGTAGCGGTTCTCTAAATAGAGAATTCTATGTAAAGGAATGAAGGCGCCTGACATGAATACTCCCCGAATGTGTCGCGCGTACGGTGGGTCGAAAAGTCGATCGAAAAGACGTCGACGCCGTAATTCTGCGTACAGAAAAGTACGTCGTCCTTCTAGGGATAAATATGTCGGAAAAGACGACGTTATACCTTAAAATCCGTGCTCTTGCATTAAATTAAGCCATATCAACGATCGTTTCTCTTCTCGATTTTACCAAGTTTATCGCAGGAATCATCGTACTCGAGACGCAGTTATCATAGACCATTTCGCCTTGAATTTTTTAGAACCCGCGAAAATATATCGCAGGAACAATTGAATTGACTGTAGGGAAAGTTATTTTAAGTTGGAACAAAAGGGACATCGTCCTGTTCTCCAAACGTGACTATTACCGGACGCGCCACTACCCGGGCGCCTAACACGGGTTCATACGTTGAACGTGGTAATCGTTTCTACATTACCTCGTAACGACCGTCCTCCGTGGCGCGAACAAACTGTATTCCACCTTGCGCAGCTAGTTCTAGTAACTCGTTACACTCGTCCATCGACGTAGTGGAGCTGGGGCCATTTTGCCGGTCCGGCTCGTTGCGATTGAGCGCAGACGGTGAGAACTGCGAGTCCAGCGCTGTCACCAGATCATCTGACGACGACAGATTAAAGAGAGGAGCGCGTCTCTTTCTGCCACGTCTCGCCTTGCAAGACTGACGCTTACCTTGCTCCTCCTCCGCACCGGGAGGCTCGATGATAAAGCTAGATCTGCCATCGGGCTCGATATTCTGTATCACAGTAGCGACTACCGGTACCTTCACCTGAACAGCTTTATTACCGTCAGCGTCTGAAGTCTCGGTAGGATTTAAAGTTATTTTCCCTGCCATTCGCAAATCTTCGGCAGTCGCAGGTGTAAGTATCTGTGACGAAATAATACATAATTATCAAGTGCAACATGTTGAATAATTAAATATTAGTAGATATTATTAATTAATACACATAGAAATTATCGTGTGCAATAAATCCCATTGTAACAGACTAAGCTTGAGGGAAGCTGTCGGGATTACCCAGCAAAATAAACAGAACAAATATACTTGCAAATCATGCAATCTGCTTGTAATATTGAACACGTAACTTTAAATAAGCTTCTTGCAAAGTCAATTGAATCCCGAGCTTCATCAAATATATTAGTACGTAAAAATAATAAGACTGTATTAAGAAGAAATTACAAAACTTTAGTTAACTTTACTATAACTTTTCCAATTATGCATAAATTTATTTATTTAATTTCTGATTAATTAATATTATATTTTAATAACAATTTTTTCTAGATAATACGATTAATGTTTGCGCTCACTTATCTCTCTTTTGCTACAAATTTAAATTTCCAAAATGATCTAATTACTGATAATGTGCAAGTGTACTCACGTGCTTATTATTATTCATAGTGGGCGAAATTTTAACGAGTACGGGTATACCTTTCGCGGGTTTGTAAAGAGCGAAAGGAGTCTGGCCTTGGAACAATGCCATTTCCATCGCTTTCGTATCGATCTTGTTTATCACGATGCTGTCCATCAAATCCGACTTTCATGAAATAGGATTCCAAAATTAATTACACAATCCATAATTCGTCGTATCCATCGCAAATCAAATACACACTAACCGAGTCGAAATAATCCTTCTCTTTGCTCTCACTCGTTTGATTCCGATCGCCGTTGTACAACTGAATAATCCTAACGTTCTTGCTGAAAATGTATAATCATACATTGTGCGCTGAAATATCTATAATTAAAATCAATTTTTGCGTGAAATAATAATTAAACACATAAGCGCTGTGATCATCTATCTAGCCCCTACGGGAAACGAACTAATTAAGAAAGACTCCCCCTCTTATAAGAGATTGACTTGTAAAATTACAACTAATTGCTTTTAATTAAACTATTTTTGCGGTACCTTTCCCATCCATCAAAAATACCAACCGGTAATCCATAACAGAGAGATCGATATTTTTAATTAAATCAGTTTGGAATTTACTGCTCGCATTCTATGAATATTTTCGGGATGGCAGACGAATTCCAACGATTTTTTTTCAGATCGTTTACACATTTATTGCGCCAATAATTACGGATTGTACGTCGCAGTTAACGTCGCAGCCACTTCCTCACATACCTTTTCCCAGCGTTGGGCTCGTTCACGGCGGATTGCGCGTTGCTCGTGCTTCGGTACTTAATACCGTGCTTGTACTCCTCGTGCGATCGCAAAGCAAACCTGCGCGGAAACTCCTTTCCGCAAACTCCGCACGAATACTGCATCTTGTCGGCGTGTGCGTGCGCTTTCACCTTGTGACAGACCAAATTCGACATCTGATTGAAGCCCTTGCCGCATAACTCACACTTGTACGGCCGCTCGTTTGTATGCGTGAACACATGGTTTCGCAAATTGCCTGAAAAGACGTTTATTTCGGGATTCTTTGACGGCGATAAGCTTATATTATAAAATACATAATAAAATCATTAGATACGAATAAATCTAAAGGGAAAAAGGGGGGAAAGAAGATTGTTTGACAATAATCCTCTCGGGAGGAATTTGCCGGTGGGAGATGATTATTGTATAATTCATATTTTTGCATGTTGTACCCTTTTGATGGAATCCTTTACCACACACGTTACACTTATGCGGCTTGTGTTCCGAGTGCGTTTTCCGATGGGAGATCAACGTCGATACTCTGAAATACGTATTACTTCAAAATAACGTGCACAAGTTAATTTTACAAATAAATACGGAAGATACATTGGCTGCTGCCAGTTAAACGTAAAACTTCGAGTTACTATGTCCGACCTGTTAAATGTTTTCTTGCAGAATTCGCACACGTAGGGCCTGGCATCGCTATGTATAGCCTTATGCTGACTCAATGTTGACAACTGTCGGAAAGCCTTGCCGCAAGCCTCGCATTTAAAGTTTCTCTCGTCGGTATGAGTCGGCAAGTGTCTCATCAGAGTGTACTGATGGCGAAACTCTTTTGAACCTGATTCGAATATTAAACGTAAAAGTTTCTTACAACGAAAGCAAGCTGTCGAGCCTTTCGAGTCGACATTAAAGAGTAATTACTCGCTACGAAATCAAATGAGAAATCTAAATCGCAATTTCTACAAAAGGGAGAAAGAACTTTTTATTTTAAATTCTATATTTCTATAATTTTTTTTTTAATTTTCTCTTCTCTTTCCTGCCTTTCGGTAATTCTCGTTCGGCTATTAGTTAATAACGATGTGAAAATGTAAGCATTACCATTTACTCAAGATATTCTTTATTAATTAAAGCGTTACGTACAAATGCCACATTCCCAGATCTTGAGCGTCTTTCCGTCGCGTTTGAGATATTTTACAAAATGCAGCCTGGATCGCGGATCATCCTTATCGATAAGCCGAGGTGTCGAGGACGGAGGTGCTTCGGCAATGGGGTGTGAATATACGACCACATTCTTGTCCGGCGCGCTAACGCTCTGCTCGAAAATCTGAAAAGACCGAGTTTAAACGAAAACGGGAAACGCTGAAAACAAAGAAATTCACGAAGTATCGCGGCGAAGGGGCGCCGTAAGGTTAAATCGCATACGCGAGAGCTCGGCGCAATTTCGAGGATTGCATCATGCTGCGTAAAAATACAGTTTCCAACAATACTCCCGCAATTATATGCATCGCGATGTAGATAGGCAAATACTTGGGGCATAAAACTATAGAAACGGGCGTATGCAAATGACATTCTTCAAAGTAAGAAGAAAGAGGGGAAAAGGGGGGGGTAAACTAGATAAACGGAGCGACGCCCGTCAGGTGAAATATTTCATATAAACTGCTGCTGTAACGATATGCACTCGCTCTTGGCAAACAACTTGCCGCGCTAATAGTTCGACAAATATTTAAGATACCTTACTTTGGCACTTACTTTGTACCTTAACGCGTCCTTGCCGACGAGTTTCGTGACGGTGCCGTCGATATTGATCACTTCGGAATCTATAGCGGTATCCAAGTCCACGCACTCTTCCTTGAAAGTAATTTCACTCGCTCGCAAATCACTGTTATCGATAAAATTATTGCAGCGATTTATTACTTGGGTCAATTGGAGATTGGCGACGGGCCCCAAACCCGAAACACCCGCCACGTCGCCGTTCTTCGATTCCGGGCCCGAGTCTTCTTTCACGTAGACCTCGTAAACGCTACTGATCGCAGTGTTTCATAATTTCATGGAATTAATAATAACGAAATTAGAACAAACGCTATCTCTACTACAGGCATAAATGTACTTTTTTTATATGTGTAAAAATGAAAGAAAACCGAGTATCGTTACTCGATTAGATCTTAAAAGGAAAGACTTTTTTTTATAAAACAATTGTGCAGTTCGACAACACTGTTCAACAACACAAAAATACGTAAGAAAAATACGACGAAGGTAATTGTTTCTCATAGTTTTTTAGACGCTCAATACGATACCGTTTCTCCAAAATACGCTAAGGTAACTCTATTTTATAATTTTATTCGCAAATCTGTCAAAATTCCGATTAGAACTGTTTAGTAAACGGGATCGTATTCAACGCCCAAATAAAAAAAAACTATGAGAAACGTTCTTGTGCTCGATAAAAGAATCTCATTTTTTGTTGAACAGTGTGGCTATACTTTTCCTTAGACATCGATACTGGAAAAAAGAGTAGTTCGCACCCGTATTTATGCCGACTATTTACGGGAACATTGCGAGCTGACCTGATAACTTCCTCCGGAATGGGCCGAGGGAATTGCACCTGCGGATCGTCGTACTGAGTTTCCCCTACGAAGTCGAAAAGCGCACTCCGTGGAGAAATTGTTGTCTTATCTTAAAAATAATTACGAGGGTACGCTGTGCCGTGCGGACACGTCGCAGCGCACGTAAGAAGCATAGATATCTGATACTTCGAAGCAACTTTCTTCAGTAAAAAAAAAAAAAAAAAAATTAATACACCACGCACCCAAGATCCAGCCTGATCGCACAGGACATTCTTCCACTTCTCGTGTTATTCGTAATATTAACAGCCAGTTTCACTTATTACTTGTTTATTTATTTTGCAAACATGCACCGTATTATTTTATATACGCCCGAACGTTCGGCCGAGAGAGCACGGGCTCTCGCAATCTATATTTTTAGGAATAAATCCATCTTTAAAAAAAAATACTCGACGCTGCGCCCGTTGTTTTATTATCATTGTGTCGTTATAATTCCAGCAACGATGGATTTATGTAGGTGTAATCGGTAAAAATTTGCAATTCGGCAACCGCGAAATAAAAATACTGCGCGCGAGGTGATATCTCGCTCCCGGCGTCCACCCACGGTGCCCGGTGTTTTCTTACCCTGTGGGGGGAGGGGGGGGCAGGAGGAGGAGGGGAGGGAAGAAATGCGCTTCGCGGATGTTATTGTTTGCGGAAAATTAATCGAGAACCTTTTCCTCGGGAGCCCGGTTTGTTTGGTAGCCGTCTAAACGGCGGACGACATCCCGAGCGAGATAACCCGATACAGTCGTATCCTTCCCCCCCCCCCCCCCGGTACAGACAACATGCGCGCGGCTCGTCTTACGTACAGCGTTATTACACGATGTAAACATCTGTCTCGCCAAGTTTCGTCGCGTTCATAAATTATGCATCAAGGTTCACGCGCGCGGCATAGAGACACACACGTTTTACGTGTTACAATTTCCCGTTAGCGGCTGTTAATGGATAGACGGATGCAGTTGTATATCCGCCGTTGTATCGGGTTGAAACGTAAAATAATTACGTAACGTAAACTTTATCGGACGTATTCAAATGTTCGTATTAGTGAGATACCAAAGTGCCTGTGTTAATTAAACTCGTAGCCCGGGAATGCGATCTCGCGTGATCGATCTATTTGCAAATATAATTTATTTGTATTGTTGTTCGCATTACGTGCGTCTACTTAAGCAACTTGTAAATTTGTAATGTAAAAATAATAGACCACGTATATGCTCTATTATTTTTAATTGAACGGACAATCTACTTATTATTCGATTTGTATTATCTGCAAATTACCGACAACTTTTGTTATCGCATTTCACGGCATTTTACTCCGAAACGCTTCCTCCACGCAGTCTACGATTGCCCGGCACCGCTGCATACGCGAACGGCGACGCAACAGCCGCATAACACGAGCGTGATCGAAAAAACCGAGGCTACCAACGGGATCCTGCAGGAATGTCGTCGACGCCTCCGAGGATTCGCGAGCCAAGGAATCGCCCTCGGACGGTGCACGCCGCGCGATACGTTCACCGACGTAGCGGCGTTCATTTTGTTTCTCGATTTTCTTCGTCGGGACCAACGTTTACATAAATCGCGAGGAAAACGGCGCGTTTTGCCCCCCCCCGGTCACGTTGCGCGACCGATACTCGCCGGGACGTCACGTTGCGCCGCGACTCGCGGGCCTCCCGGAGTCCCTCGGCTTGTTTTGTCTGGCGTCAAATAAACGAAAGCCGCCATTATCAGAGCTCATTTTTCCTGCGGTGCGCGTGCGGTGCCCGCTCGGCTTATCCGCGCGACTTATCGGCGAGAGAGGCCACGGCGAGGCCCGGCAAGGCGATTGTACTCACAGTTGTATCCCTGCAGCAAATTGCCGTGCGACATCTTCGCTCGTCCTGCGCCCGTGGATCGGATCGGTTTCCTGCCGGCTCCAGCCCCCCCCTCAATGTCAACGTCCGCATTGACCTCCACCGGATAATTCTTGGAATCGAGCGAAAGCGCGCTGCGCCAGCGCCCCCCTGGCGGACGATTCGGGTTCCAAAGCGCAGCGGCAGGAGCGTGTCCCTCGCAAGACCCTTCTCGCGGGGGCAACTCGTCGAAATTGCGGCCCGTTCTCCAGCGCGACGGGTGCGTGAACGAGAGTGTATAGGGACGGCTTCATCATTTCCGATTTATTTGAGGTTACGGTCGAACCGCCGCCTACAAATGCTTCGAAGCGTTTCTCTTCTCCCTCGATGTTTTCTGGAAGAAAAGAAAAAGAAGAACGCCTCGAAACATTTGAAGCGACAGCTTGACCGCAGCCTCAGGCTGTGTTCCGATATTCACTGCCAGTACTGAAAATGTATAGTATACGTGACGTAAACTATAGATTTGCAGTAATGGTAGTGAATATCGGAACACAGCCTTAATCGGCCGAGTCAATTTCAGTGTCCCTATGGAATTGACCAATCGCATTTATCGCGGCCAGAATTAATCGATCACGGTTAACGCTTAGGCCCGGTTTCACCGGCGTCGCTTAACTTTAAGTTTAACTTAACGCGTTCTTCGTCTCTTTCCAACTGTTACCTTAGAGACAAACGTGAATTAAACTAAGACCCGGTTTCACTGTCGCTTAACTTTAAGTTTGGCTTAATTCGTTCTTGGTCTCTTTCCAACTGTTACCTTAGAAAGAGACAAACGAATTAAACTAAGGCCCGTTTCTCTGTCGCTTAACTTTAAATTTGGCTAAATTCGACGGAGATGGTGAAACCGGCCCATATTCTTTAAATATAACGCGAAGACGTGTCTGTAAAATTCAGACGAAAATTGGAATTAGGTTGAATATGCCGACACAACTGGCTACAGTAGTGACACTCCTAGCTCCAGTAGGCCTAATGGCATTTGACCACATGCCATACGCCGACTAGAAGCTGTAGAATGCACTTGAAAAGGGACAAAACCCATGGCCGAAACGTTGTGTTAATAAAGGAAGTTTCCTGTAGCCAGTTGTGTCGGGTTATTCAACCTAATTGTTAACTAATTACTGGCGATTCAATAGTCCCAAATTTTGCTTGAAAACTGGAATATCTTTGATGGGAAAGAATACGAGTAAAATCATTGATTTCACAGCAGGGGTTACTCAATTGTCTCTAAGCGCTTGAATTCGAGATTTTTAAGCTGTTTCGGGCAGCCGCCTCTTTCCCTTTTTCACTCTCGCTTTCTCCCTCGCCACGGGGATGTTCGCGCGTACAGCATTAATATGCCAGGGGAAACATCTGTACGCCACTCGATCGGCGACGAACCGAGGGATACCATCTCGAGGCCGAAGAACTCTGCTCCTCTTCCCTCCCGCCTGCTTTCGAATTCCGGTCAGGTATGTCGGCAGCGGTGCCTGCTTTCCACCTACCGACATGGACTCCGCCATACTTGCCCGACTCAATTATGACTTGCTACTTCTTGTTAGCCGCTGTTTAAGTTACTCCGGCCCTCCTGGCCTCGCCTTGCCTCTCCTCGCCTGTCTGCGTCCTTATTCCAGTCAGCCCGGTCACCTGTCAGTCTTCTTCCTTGCGAACGTTGATAAACGCAGATTTTTTTTCATATGGCGAATTCGGTTGCTTGCACCATTGCGCACTGAGTGCACAATAAGACTTGTTTGTTGTCAATTCTTATATTTAACAAATTAAGGAGGGTGGTTGCTCAAATAAAAATGATAAAAATGAATTCAAATTTATAGAAAAAATATATATATTAAAATTATAATATATAAATATATATATAATATATATATATTATATATACATATATGTAAAAATGATAAGAATTTTATAAAAATAAGTGCAAATAATTCTATTTTAATTTTGAGAATTAAATTACAGATATCGTAATACTTTGCTATGTTGGCCATGTGCAATAGTATAACTTTAATAATTACTTATTCGACAACCATGCAGACAATAGTCTTAAACTTTTGCATGGAGGACAGATTCCCATAGACGAATATTTTCTATAAATTTGAATTTATCTTTATCATTTTTATTTCAGCAACCACCCTCCTTAATCAAATTCGTACGGCTCAAATGTGATAAACACCCATTTCAGGAAATAAAGGACTAAGGCCCAGTTTCACCAACGTTGTTTAACTTTAAGCTTAGCTTAATTCGCTCTTTGTCTCTTTCTAAAGTAACAAAAGTAACGCTTAACTTTAATCTCAGTTTAATTCACGTTTGTCTCTTTCCACAGTAACAGTTGGAAAGAGACCAAGAACGAATTAAGCTAAGCTTAAAGTTAAACAACGTTGGTGAAACCAGACCTAAAAGCCGCGACAGAGTGTTAGTGTCTAAATAGTTCATATTTTAAATTTATTGCGAAAAATATTACCCTTCAGTAAGGGTTTGAACCTGGACCTGGACCTCCCTCTCATTAGGCGGGCGTCTCAACCAATTCGACCACCAAGTCATGTGAAAATATTCATCGCAATAA